AGTTATCATGAAATTAAAATTTGTTATATAGTGTGATATATCATTTTGTTTGTATTTGGGATGGACATAATTATAATAAAAAACTTTTGTATTTTAGTATGTTTAACAACTTTCTAGCACACCTTTTAATCTTAGGTGTTTTTGGGGTAGGTGCACAATTCGGATCCATCAAAAATTACAACACAAAATCAAATACTATACAACATTTTATATTTTACACAATATTCTTTTAATTTTTTTTAATACTTTTTAACAAATAAATTTAATTTATTTTGCTATTTTCTTTATTAGACCATAAAGAATTTTTTGTGTTATTATTACTATATATTTCTTCTGTTCTATTTTACATAATCTTTGTATAAAAATAAATGGTTATTTTAGCAAATCGAAAAGAATTTATTTTTCATATTGTTCTTATTATTAAATAGCTACATGAAATAGTAATAACCAAGCTTAGAATTTTAAAATATGATTAATAAGGTTAAACTTGATAAATACACTTTTAATTAAAATTTTATTAAAAATTTGTTAAATCAACATAGGCCAAATAATATAAAAGAAAAAGAGTACAAGGTAATTCAACATATAAGATTCACACGCAATCAAATGGTTAAAAAGATTATTATTTTATACTATTACATCAAATTAAATAATTTGAACCTTTATATATTGTGTTAAATGTAAAGAGCCGCCTTTTTTCAAAAGTGTCTTCGAAAGCCTAAGGGCTAAGAGTAATTAATCCTCTCATAGCATGATTTGTCATTTAAATTATGTCAAGTGAAACATAAGTTTTTTTTATGCCAGAAGCATGATTCGTAGAATATTATAAGATTCAAATATAAATTTATGTTCTATGAAAAAGTTATTTACATCGAAAGACAAAAACTAAAGACCAGCACAAAATAGAAACACAAGTGCAAACACCATCCTTATTGGAGTTCGATTAATTCAAAGTGCAAACAACATTTTTATTGGAGCTCGACTAATTCAGATTCGTGACGCAAGGAGTTCCATTCGGGGGATCAGAAATGCTTTCCCTATCAATGATTTCTTTTTCGTACTAAAGATTCGAACATAAGACTTTTAGTTAAAGAAGAAACAACTTCATCCACTGCATCACGTCTTTTGATAGTAATTGATTACAATATTATTTTTTATTATGCGTGTTTGAATTAAATCAGCCTCTTTTCGGAGTTTGTAAAGGCTACGGCCCTTAATTTGGCTTTTTCTACTAATAAAATGTTAATTAAAGAAAGAAGACTTCACCACACATTCACATGTATACATGTTGGTTGGTATGCAAGTCTTCCGTCTTTAATGACCACACAGCTCTGTCACATTTGTTATGTCAAGTAAAGAAATGTCAATTATTGAGATTTCACATTGTTTAGTCAAAGAATGCAAACCATGAAGTAGGTCTTGTCTTTTTTTCTTTTTTCCTTTTTTTGAGGAAAGAGAAAGAGGATCCAGGACAAACAACATTAAATTATAAGGAGTTAGTTTGCTTAGAGTTGGGAGTTAGGAGAAGGGTCCTGCCTTTATTTGTCTTTTTTTCTTTTTTCTATTGGTGCTGAATTTAAATATGGGGACAAAGGTGGGGATAAGAAGTTGTACATGTTAGCTAAAGTAAAAAAAATAGAAGGTTCGTGATCTAGTAAAGTGAAGTGAATCAAAGATGAGAATGGCATGGCTTCGACATACTAGATGTGTCATGTCTAATATGTAGTGTATGATCTAGAGTACATACAAGATACTAGTGAAAATTTAGAAGAATACAGACAAGACATGAAGCATGGAGTGACGCAAGGGAATTTTTAATGTCATTCTTAGGACTATGAAGATGCCCGAAGATAAGAGGTGGAGTTGGATGATTTTATCGTACAAAAACAAAATTGATATTTAAAATTGCAATAATTATAAGATATTAAGTTGTGAAGCCACACTATGTAAATTTGAGAGAGAGTGATAGATATGAGGATGAGGAAGGGTTATATGTTTATTTCTAAGAACCAGTTCGAATTCATGCAAATGTGGTTGAATATAGAAGTCATTCACCCTAAGGTTAAAGGGGTAATATATGGAAAGGAAAAGAGATTTGCATATGATGTTCATAAAGTTAGAAAAAACATACGACAAAATCCCAAAAGAGGTTCTTTGGAGATGTTTGTAGGCTAGAGGTGTTCTTGTAACTTACATTAGAATGATTAAGTGTCACGATCCTAACCCGCCATGAGTGGTACCCACGCAATCATCTGGTGGGAGAACCAACTACCAACTCAAACCAAACCCATCAAACCACTTTAAAAAACAAAGTCACGATCTAAATTACTAGGAAAATGGTTTGAAAAAAATTAAAAGGTTAAGTTCCCATAAACTCAATCAATTAACAAAATCAATGTGGAATTAAACTCCCTAGAACCTGAAGGTCATGGCACCAAAACTTTAAATAGGCAAGAATGGGGATGCAACCCTGAAAACTAGAAAACATCAACCTAAAAATCTAATTTTTTTGTGTATGAAAAGATGGACAAAGAAGTGGAGAAGAATTCATGGCAGTCCAAAAGAGTAGCTCACCCTTGGATGATCAAACGTCCTTTAAGCAAGAATTCATAGCACTCACTTGAATATGTCTTGTACTCAATAAGAAAAAACAAGTACAATATCAGTACACAAACACCGTGTATTGGTAGGATCATACGACCAGTTCCAAAATATGAATATGAACAAGTAACTACAGAACAGTAATACAGACCAAACCATATACCAACAGTCATAACATTATACAAATTTTCAATCATAGCCTTGATTTAACCGATACATACATAAAACATGTCTAGCATGGTCACAAGATGCACATACATGATCCTCTCATGGAGCCCATACACAAACTGCTAGTGTACTGGTGTGGTACTCGAGCCAACCATAAATGATTCACATCAGGCGCAGTATCCGAGCAAATCATTAGTATTCTATATTAGTATGGTATCTGAGTCAACCATCAATCACAAATAACATGCACTGTCACATTCACAATGTACAACTAACTTGAAATTACAAGTAAATAAACAGGTCCATCGCATGAGATTATCACATAAAGTCATTGCACATTAGCCTTCTAGTTTCCCCTACATACATCACAAAATCATACTATAAGGCAGTTAAAATGCACACATTACATACTATAGAAAATAAATAAACCATCACCTACCTCGAATCAAGCCTTGAAAACTCTAAAAAGTCTGAGCTTTCCCCTTTTGCAATTCATTGTCTTGTTCTTAGTCCAAAACAATAATAAAACACTACAATCAATAACTAATGGTCTAAAAATATTCGGATTATACTCAAATCCTAACCCAGGACAATTCATGATCATTCTACCTAAATCAGAGTTTTCTCCACTATTAATTCGAGTTGAAACCCTCCCGAGAACCTTAGATTATAAGGCTTAAGAATCAATATACGAAATAAAGAAGTAATAAACCTACCTTTATCGAAGAATTTGGTGAAAAATGGGTGAAAACTGCCTTAAATCGCCCCTCTAAGTTTCAAGAACAAAGTTGTAGAAAATAAGAAGTTTTGGGACTTTTATGTATAAAACCCATTATAACAGCCCAACCCGCTATATCGGCGTTGCCATATTGACTTTCCCCGCTATAGTGCCTGGACAATTGCTATAACACTTGCGCATACGTCCTTCTATAGCGGTGGAACGTCCGCTATAGCGATTTTCACATAATAAAAGACTTGTAAACCTCCCTAAAAGCCCTCATTTTGCAACATACCTTCGATCAATGACATTTCATACTAACCCTTTCACGTCAAGTTCTATTCCGACAGTTTTACCCACCCGAATTTGATCCCGAAAGGCCCTATGGATTCCTTAATGTCTTAGCTGCTAGAAAATTCAACCCAATCTTAGACATTATCCCTAATCCATTCCTGGATTCCCCTAGACCTACCTTGCTCAGATTCCATCTAAGATTATGTTGGACTAAAATTTTCAAGTTACTATCCAAAAATAATTCTAACCTGATTTCTTTCACTATTGGTCTACCCATAACGATCGGAGTGGATAGTTACATTAAGGACATATATTATAACGCTAAAACTGGGTCCAAGAATGTGGGTGGTGACTTGTAACACTTTTTCTTCATAATGGAATTGCACTAGTGATCCACTCTTAGCTCATTATTACTTGTATTAACGATGAACGTACTAATGTGACACATTCAAGAAGATATGCTATAGTAAATGTTATTTACAGATGACCTAGTACTTATTGACGAGACATGAAGCAAAGTTAACACGAGGTTAGAAGTTTGGAGAAATATCCTGGAATAAAAAAAATATCAAATTGAGCACGATCTGTAAATTTCTATGGCCCACTAATTGTATTTTGGTTTAATAATTAATATAAGTTAAATCCTAAATATGTGTGGAGAAGTGGGGAAGTAGGGAAGTTATTTATATGTGTGGAGAAGTGAGAAAGATACTTAGTATCTTCCAACCAGAGGCAAATCCAAGATTTCAAGAAAATGGGTGCACCATTGCTTTAAAGATAAGATCAAAAAAATTATAATAACAATACTAAGCGAGCAATACATAAAAAATACATTACCAGAAAAAATATCATCAGTTTACAATTGTACTCGACGAGACTTCATATTTTGAAAACGATCTATAATAGCATCATTACTTACATTTTCAAATATCTTCCGCTCTATCTTACAAACTAAACAACCATTCAAAAATTCTTCACCAATGATATTACGTAAATCATTTTTTATGAGCTTCATTGAGGAGAATGCTCTTTCCACACTTGATGTAGCAACATGCAATATCAAACCCAACTTTACAAGAAAATACACAAGAGACCAAATTTGATCCAATTTTGTTTGTGCCATCATCGTAGCAAGATCTTTAATCCCCTTCAAGTTGAGAAACTTGCTATCACACTCTCGAGCATAGACAATGAAACTATCAAGCTGATAACTGAGATCTCAAAGTTCATTATCACCAAAGTCGCTTTTATAATATTCAGCCGACTTCACTATTCTGCTTTTACTAAAATTAGCAAATGAATCAACCAGATTCAAACTAGCCATACCAAGGAGTAAGTCATTAGTCACAACATCAAAACGATTATTGAGCTCTTGAAGTTGTAAATCAATAACTGCATAAAACACTTCCACACGAAAGTGATGTAAATATGAAATTTTGGACTTCTTACGCTTCGATCTTGGATAGTCTTCACTCATTACGGGAACCAAAATATCATGTTTAGCACAAAATGAAGAAACCCCATCCATCAAAGACTCCAAACCACTCTCTCTCATTGTTTGTAATCTTCTTTTTGAAATATTAAGCAATCTCATAACATTGACAATATCTTGATCTTTCTTTTGTAAAGTTTTGCTCAATTCATTTGTAACAAGCAACATCTTGAACATCAAATGCAACACAAAGATGAATTCAAATTTTTGAATTTTATCTAAAAGGTTACATGCTACAAGTTTAGCAAGATCATGTGGAGAATTTTCTTTCATATCTTTAAGCACATTAGCAACTGAAGAATATATAATCATGAAATTTTCCAAGGTCTTGAAATGGGATCCCCAACAAGTATCACCCGGTCGTTGGAGGCCACGTTCTTGATTTAATCCTTGTCTGGTAAGAATTTCTCCAAATTTAAGCAATTCTTCCAACTTCTCAACTTGGTGTTGTCGAAGTAAGTCCCTGCGTTTAAAAGATGTCCCAATAGTATTCAAAACATTAGTGACAACATAAAAGAAAATTTTCACATCCGAATATTTTTTAGAGAGAGCTACAAGTGTCAATTGCAATTGGTGAGGAAAGCAATGAATATAATATGCAAACGGAACATCTTGCAAAATCAAAGACTTTAAGCCATTTTTTTCTCCTTGCATATTTCTAGCTCCATCATAACCTTGTCCACGGAGTCTTGATAGGTATAACGAGTGATCCAAAAGTAAAGAGTAAATTATTTTTTGCAATGATATTGCGGATGTATCACCCACATGAACAATACCCAAAAAGCTTTCTATCAACTCTCTGTTTTTGTTAACATATCGTAAAACTAATGTCATTTGCTCTTTATGTGAAATGTCCTTTAACTCATCAACTAGTATTCCAAAATAATCACCATCCAAGTCTTTGATGATAACTTTAATTATTTATTTAGTACAAGCATCCACAATATCTTTTTGAATTGTTGAACAAATCATGATATCATTTTTTGGAGCATGTTGTAATATCACCTTTTCCACACCCGGACGATTAATCCCATTAAATTTCAAAAGTTCAAGAAAAAAGACTTTTGTAATCGGAATCTTCACTCTCATCATGACCACGAAATGACAATCCATTTCTTAGGAGAAACCTTACCATATCGATTGAGGTATTTAAACGAATTCGATAATCACTTTTTGTTTTTTCACTTTGCTTGTGAAGAGAAGATTGAATTGATTGACGTTGATTCGCAAAATCAAGCATCCTATTCATACATTTGTTATGAATACTATTCACCTCACCAACATGCAATCGAATTCTTTCCGGACTATGGTTCCAATTCTTAAAACCATCTTGTGTAAATTATTTTCCTGCATTGTCACGACTTTCAAATTCATTCTTGAAGAGACAACAACACAAACAAAATATAGCATAATCGTCTATGCTATATTCCAACCAAGCAGAATTTGAAGCATTAAACCACTCAGGATTAAATTGTCGATTCCTAGTCCCAAATGTTGTTTTAGGATATACACGAAGTTTTGGTTGATAAAACCCCATCAAAATATAATGTCTCCTCACAACATCTCGAATATAGAATCATATTCAAAGATAGGTTTTCTTTCTCTGGGATCCCGTTTGAGAGACCCAACCCCAAGAATACAATCAACATTTGAAGAAGAAGGTGTAATTGTCTCTCTTTGACCTTCTGGAGCTACATGTGAACTAACAGATCGACCGCTACTAAAACGTGGTTGCTTAATAAAAAATTTATCCATTTAAATATTTAAGGATAAATGTTCCTACAAATTCAAATAACTATTCAACTTAGTCACAAATTTAACTAGCAAATTATAAAATAAGAGATTTACATATCTTTCACAATAAAAAATAAGGAAATCACACCCCTTTCACATTTAACAATAAGAAACCACACATTCATAATAAAAAGAGGATTTATACCTCTTTTGAATTTGAAATCACATATTCATGAAAGAAGAGGAATCACACCTCTTTCACATTTAAAAAAATAAGGGAATCACACCCCTTTCACATTAAAAAAATAAAGTGAATCACACCCCTTTCACATAAAAAAAAAATCACACATTTCAAAATTGATAATATAATATAAAACACATTCCTTACAAGTTATATCTGCAAAATATGTAAGTTTGAAATAATCAATTCTTTAGCTATTGATGATTTCATATTATAAATAATGACAAGATGTTTTTATATGAAGACCCTAAAATTAAAGCAATACATTTTTTTATTTTGTTAGTTTGTTTATTAAAAAGAGAAATCATAAACTAAAATTACCTTAAACTTTGACGATGATGATTTCTCTATATTCTTAACTTGAAGTTGGAGACTTGAAGCTTGGAAAATAAAACACAAATTTGAAGAGAGAATAAATATATTGTTGAAACTTGGAACTTGAAAAGTGGGTGGGGGAAGAAAACTTTTGGAAGTCTTTTAACTCTTAGAACTTCCAAAATTTAGTTTTTTCCTTCTTTTTTTTAATGAAAAACGTGAATTTAGTTTTTTTTTTTAATTTAATGAAAAACGTGTTTTAAAGTTAATAAAAATAAGTTGAAGTGAATTGGGGGCTGCCTAGGATCGAACCAGCGACCTCCGTGTTGAAATCTCGCAATAATACTAGTGAACCATCCAGTCAACTTGTGAACGGGTTCCACAAATTTTAATTTAACATACTCTTCTATAGTTATAGAAGTAATATATCTAGTTTAGTCGGATGACCACGGGTTTCGGTGACCCAAATTTTGTACATAAATTCGCCCCTGCTTCCAACTGTCCATTAAGTCTTTCATTAACCATTACTTCTTCCAACTATTCATTAAGTGGAGAGTTACTTGATAGTTTTAAAACAACCCATCATCTCCACTACTCACCATGATGGAAAGGTGGAAATAATATTAAAAACACTCTTATTTAAAGGGTCCTCTCTCTGCCATAAACATATAGTCTTATCCATCAAAGTTATTCATAAAATATAAGGCAAGAGAGAGAAATAACTTCTCAAGAACAAAAAAGAAAAAGACTTCCGCTCAAGTCAAGTCAAGATTTTCGAAAAAATATTATTGCTGATTCGGGTATGTATTCTTGACTGAATTATTATAGTAATAGATTTATGTGAAAATCATATAGTTCTACGATCATGAATAATTGATAGGATTTATAAATGCATAAATTGTTTATGTTTTCACAATCCATTAAATTCTAACATGTGGTATCAGAGCCTGATTTAAGAACTAGTGATTTTTCATAGAATTGATATTTTCTTTATTTGAAAACGATAATGGGTAGTATTAAGTGAAATAATTATTCACTATTATGATGTATTTTATTTTGAAATTATATGAGATTAGTTAATCACCAAAGTGGTTTAATCTTTGAAAAATTAATTCAAAATAATAATTAAACGTATATTCAATTATCCATTATTTTGATGCTTATAACCGATATAACTCTTATGGATATATTGAAGTTTTTGGTTATAAGATATTTACGAATCACACAAAGGTTGATTATTTTATTTTTATAACCATTGAACATTAAAGAGATAATTTAGATGTGTCGTTAGTTTTAATTATTTATCCAAAGATAATAAATATTATTGATTGACACATTAAAAATTACTGAATTACATTAAATTCACATTTAAGCATCATTATGTTAAAGTTGTATTTTGATGTTTCGCCTAAAGGAGGACATCAATATACATTTAAGAATTTATAGACCATTTCTGAATTTGACAATATGTTTAAAATTCATAACTCAGTATTAACAAATGAGCATATTATATTCAGCATTTGCTCTTCATTTGCATTCTGCCTCTGTTACGACCTTTAAAGGTCTTAACTTCTCAGATTGGTGTGAACAAATCAAATTTCATCTCAGAGTTTTAGATCTTGATGTTGCACTTTACACTAGGAGACCAACTCTATTACTGAAACTAGTAGTATTGAAAAAAGATTCTACTATAAGCACTGGGATCGATCTAACATATTAAGCATAATGTTTATGCGAATGAATATTGCGAGCAACATTAAGATTACTCTTCCCAAAACTGAAAATGCAAAAGATTTTCTGAAACTTGTGGAAGAATCCTCTTAAACTGCTGATAAGTCTCTTGCTGGGACACTAATGGGTACTTTGACCACCATGAAGTTTAATGGTTCACGTACCATACATGAGCATATCATTGAAATGACAAACATAGCAGCAAGACTTAAGTCTTTGGGAATGGAAGTGGAACAAAAATTCTTTGTACAATTCATCATCAACTCATTACCGTTTGAGTACGACCCTTTCCAAATGAACTACAACACCATGAAAGACAAATGGAATGTGCATGAATTGCACGAAATGTTGGTTCAGGAGGAAGTAAGGCTCAAGAATCAAGAAACTCACTCCATCAACTTTGTAAGTCATCAAGGAGTTGGAAAGAAAGGAAAGAAGCATGCTAAGGGAAAACAGAGGCACCATAATGTTAATTAGTCCTCCTCTCAAGTACGTAAGAAGGAACACAATAATGATAAGTGTCGTTTCTATGGAAAATGTAGACACCTTCAAAAAGATTGCCTGAAATTTAAGGCATGGCTCTAGAAGAAATGGATTCCTTACAACACAAACCATAAACCAGAATGAAAGATATGTGTATATGGGGAATAGAGTGAAGGCTCCAGTTAAAGCTATAGGGACTTACCATTTGATCCTTAATATTGGGCGTCACTTAGATTTACTTGAAACTTGTTATGTATCTTCTCTTTTAAGAAATTTAGTTTCTTTGTCTAAGTTAGATAAGACTGGATATTTTTTTAATTTTAGTAATGGATGTTTTAGTTTGTTTAAACATAATTATCTCACTGGTACTGGTACTCTTTAATACAAATTGAATCTTGATAATCTATTGCCGAAACACTCTTAACTCTGCATCATAATATTGGAACCAAACGAAGTTTGGTGAATGAACAATCTGCTTTCTTGTGGCACAAACGTTTAGGTCACATATCCAAAGAAAGATTGGAAAGATTAGTTAAGAATGAAATTCTTTCAAATTTGAATTTTACAGACCTTAACATTTGTGTGGATTGTATTAAAGGAAAACAAACAAGACACACAAAAAAGGAGCCACAAGAAGCATACAATTTTTTGAAATTATACACACTGATATATGTGATCCTTTTGATATTGCATCTTTCAGTAAAGAAAACTATTTTATTTCTTTTATTGATGATTTTTCACATTATGGGTATGTCTATTTGTTGTATGAAAAATCTCAAGCGATAAATGCCTTAGAGGTATTTATTACAGAGGTTGAAAGACAACTAGATAGAAAGGTGAAAATAATTAGGTCAGATAAAGGTGGTGAATATTATGAAAGATATGATGAAAATGGACAACACTCAGGTCCATTTGCTAAATTCCTCGAAAAGCATGGCATATGTGCTCAATACACAATGCCTAGAACACCACAACAAAATGGTGTAGCAAAAAGGCGTAATCGTGCATTAATGGACCTGGTTAGGAGTATGTTAAGTAATTCATCTTTACCTCTTTCATTGTGGATGTATGCTTTAAGGACTGTCGTTTACTTACTTAATAGGGTTCCTAGTAAAGCAGTTCCAAAGACTCATTTTGAACTGTAGACTGGTAGGAAACCTAGTTTGAGGCACCTGCATGTTTGGGGTTGCCCCGCAGAAGTTAGAGTTTATAACCCACAAGAAAAGAAACTGGATTCAAGAACAATCAGTGGTTTCTTCATTGGTTATCCAGAAAAAAATCAAAAGGGTATAAATTTTACTGTCCTAATCATAGTACTAGAATAGTTGAA